TTAAGGATATAGTTGAGGATATTATTTACTATGTTACAAAGTATAATCTTTACGAAGATACACATCTAATCCCTGTCAGATCTTATTAGCAAAAAAAAAAAATTATTTCTATTGGTTTTTAGCTCATGAAAATTTGGAATTGCATACATTATAATTTACATTTTATATAGCCCTGTAATTCAGCTAAACAAATACTTTCTGGAATAAGCATGGCTTAAATAAATAAACCAACCTCACATTCTGAGCTTTTAGCTTACTTTTTCAATTAAAAAAAAGTGAGGGAACAGAGCTCTGTAGACCTGCAGAATCTGTCATTTTTCTGATGAAATTCAGTATGCAGTACAATTTGTTTTAACCTCCTCTAGTTCTAGTATTTATGAAATTAGAGGGCACTTGAATAATGTTGTGTAAGATGAATATGATGATTCTCTTGATACCTACTATGCCACTTCAGATATACTACAGCAGAACTTGCCAACCTGAGTGTTGGGTTGGGTTATCTGCCAGCTTCAACCACTAATTCCCTCAGTGCTAGGGCAGCAGGAGCTCTGATGTCATTTAACTGTATTCAAGAATTGTCTCAACTATTTACCCCAAGTTCACAAATATACAAATATTATCATTCATTCTTTGTGTGTGCAAAAGAATGAAAATTACTACAATGTAATATCATCCACCCATTGTCAGGATCTTAGAGTTTAAATTCAAATACTATTGTAAACATGATCAGTAGAAACATCTGTGTCTATACTTGTCATGGTTTGAATATATAGAACTTGTAATATCTACATCAAATCCTAGGAGTTTTAAGTGCTTTTCCAAAGCAAGACCAGCAAAGTGGAAGATCTTTTATTTTTATTTTATTTTTTTTTATTTCAGCATATTATGGCGGTACAGATATTTAGGTTACGTGTGTTGCCCTTGGTTCCCCCCCCAAAACCATTACTCAGGAGACATGAGAAATAGAAAAAAATGATTCCCTTATGGAAGTATGCCTGTCTTGCTCATTTAAGTAGCATATGTGCTCTATTTAAGGGAATCCTTTTAAATCTATTCTATTACCTGATATTCTTTAAGGCTCATTTCATCATCACAAAACCAAATTATTTTGATTTTATCAAGAGAATTTACAAAGTTATAAAGTTAACATATCCTTAAGGAAAAATTTTAAGGTGTTAGGAAAATACTCTGTGCTCAGTAGTAGTGTGTTTGCTGACTGGATATTTCACAATAATCCTAAACCATATGTTGAATTCTTTGTCAAATGTGGATGATATCTAAGATTCCCTGGTCTTTACTCTTCTTATTGTTGACCTCATAGTATAAAATTTCATTGAGTTTCAAGTTGTACACATTTGCTTTCCAAATAATCCTATGTCAGTTTAATACTACCTATAGTATCAAGCGTGGCAATGATGGAACACAGAGAGGCTCCCAGAACACTGTTGGTGGGAATGTAAATTAGTAAAGCCACTATGGAAACAGTATGGAGGTTCCTCAAAAAACTAAAACTAGAAATACCATATGACCCAGCAACACCATTGCTGGATGCATATCCAAAAGAAAGGCAACCAGCATTTCAAAGAGATTTCTGCAATCCCATGTCTATTGCAGTGCTATTCACAATAGCCAAGATATGGAATCACCATAAGTGTTCATCAATGGATAAATGGATAAAGAAAATGTGGTATGTATACACAATGGAAAATTATTCATCCATAAAAAGGATGAAATCCTGTCACTTGCAGCAACATGCATGGAACTGGAGGTCATCATGTTAAGTAAAATAAGCCAGGCACAGCAAGACAAATATCACATGTTCTCACTCATATGTGGGAGCTAAAAAGGTGGATCTCAGGGAGGTACAGAGTTGATTGGTGCTTACCAGAGACTAGGAAAGGGAGTGAGGTATAAAGAGAGCTTGGTTAATGGGTACAAAAATGCAGTTAGAAAGAAATAATAAGATCTAGTGTTTGATAGTACAGGAGGGTATCTACAGTTAGTAATAATTCATAATATATTTCAAAATAGCTAGAAAAGAGGAATTGGAATGTTCCCAACATAAAGAAAAGATAAATGTTTGAGGTAATGGATATCCAAATTACCGTGATTTGATCATTGCACAATGTACGCATGTATCTAAATATCACATATACCCCCCAAATATGTACAACTATTATGTAACAATTAAAAAAAAAAAAAGAAAAGTGGGGCTCCTGGAGGTAAGAATCAGCATTTTTAGCAAGGTTACACATCTTCTTATACTTATGGTCTTGGACCTTCAAAAGGGTTAAGCTGATACTATACCCATCAAATTTCTTTCCAGACCACAACTACACAAATAGAAATGAAGAAAAGGTCACCAACTTCCACAAATATATCTTTGGATATGTTGGAAGATTCTACTCTCAGATATAAAGAAGGTAAAGTAAAAAATATTTAGACACTCACTACGGAAGGTACATAAGACTGACTTTTAAAGAAATCCAGCAATTTCTTCAGGATCTTAGATGGTAAAAACCAAAATTTAAATAATAACATGAGAATATTAGGTTGAACAATACATAAAAATTTCAGAAGCATAGTGTTTTAAACATTGGAAAGGGTGACCAAAGAACACCCAGAAATTTTGTTTAACAGTAAAAGATATTGAAATATAAATTTGTGATGAAATATGGAGATTGGAGTAGATAACATTAATATTTCAATGTCCTTTCTAGTATGTACATTTTTTATGTATAACCAATAATTCTTTATCATGGACAATATTAAAAGACATTATTTTGTAAAGCATATACATCTAGAAATTATAAATCATAATGTTCTCAACAATATTCCATATTTGTTTTCTTGAGAAACACTCTTACATCTTCCTTCTAATACACAGTTTGCCTCATTTTCATTTGTCTAACTCAACAAGCATGAATGAAATATAGGAAATGCAACTTCTGTATTTTTTGTTAGTATAGAATATTTCTATTTTCAAATTCCAAGTCAGAAATTTAGTTTCAAACCTCCATTTACATGTAAAAGTCAAAATCATCTATTAGTTAGAACTTAAATAAACAATTTGTTAACGTCTAACTTTTCTATTCTTTCATTTCAGAACTTAAAAAATCCAGGAAGAAATGCCCATTTTGTTGGTATAGGTTTGCAAAACTTTTCTTGATATGGAATTGTTCTCCCTGTTGGTTAAAATTGAAAGAGTTTGTCCATAGGATTATAATGGACCCATTTACTGATCTTTTCCTTACCATATGCATAATTTTAAACATATGTTTTTTGGCCTTGGAACATTATCCAATGAATGCACAAATCAACAATATTCTCAGCTTTGGAAACCTGGTAAGACCCTCATTGTGTGTTATTTTCATTTGCAGTGTCAGCATTTCTTTATCCATCATTATCACCATTGTTTTATTTTCTAATTCCAATATGTTACAGTATACTTTATTATTGAAGGAAGTATTGTGTTCATACTCTGTGCCCTCCCACTCCCTGTTTTGTAAATGTTCCTGTCATTGAATAGTTTTACAACAGGAATTTAAAAGTCTGCCATTTAAAAAAATTTATTTATTTTTAATTTCAGAATATTACGGGAACACAAACACTTTGGTTACATATATTGCCTTTGCACCACCCAAGTCAGAGCTACAAGGGTGCCCAACCCCCAGACAGTGTGCACCACACCCATTAGGTGTGAAATTACCCATTCCCTCCCCCCTTCTCTGACCTGTCCAACACCCAATGAATGTTACCTCCATATGTGCACATAAGTGTTGATCAGTTAGTAACAATTTAATGGTGAGTACACGTGGTGCTTGTTTTTCCATTCTGTGATACTTCACTTCGAAGAATGGGCTCCAGCTCCACCCAGGCTGGTACAAGAGGTATTAATTCACCATTACTTTTTATGGCTGAGTAGGACTCCATGTTATACATGTATCACATTTTATTAATCCACTCATGTATTGATGGGCACCTGGGTTGTTTCCACATCTTTGCAATTGTGAATTGTGCTTCTGTGAACATTCAAGTACAAATGTCTTTATTATAGAATGTCTTTTTTTCCTGTGGGTAAATACCCAGTAGTATAATTGCTGGATCAAATGGTAGTTCTACTTTGAATTCTTTAAGATATCTCCATACTAATTTCCATAGAGGTTGTACTAGTTTGCAGCCCCACCAACAGTGTATAAGTGTTTCTATCTCTCTGCATCTACACCAACATTTGTTGTTTTGGGACTTTTTGATAAAAGCCACTCTCACTGGAGTTAAGTGATATCTCATTGTGGTTTTGATTTGCATTTCCCTGATGATTAGGGATGTTGAGCATTTCTTCGTACGTTCGTTGGTCATTAGTCTGTCTTTTTTTGAAAAGTTTTTGTTTATGTTTTAATGGGGTTGTTTGTTTTTTTCTAGTTGATTTTCTTGAGTTCTATATAGATTCTAGTTATCAGCCCTTTATCAGATGTGTAACATTCTAATATTTTCTCCCATTCTGTAGGTTGTTTCTTCATTCTGATGATAGTTTCCTTGGCTGTGCAGAAGCTTTCTAATTTGATCAGAGCTGATTTATTTATTTTTGTTGCTGTGATTGCTTTGGGATTTTCTTCACAAATTCTTTGCCTAGACTGATGTCTACAAGAGTTATTCCTACATTTTCTTCTAGAATTCTTATGGTTTCATGTCTTAGGTTTAAGTGTGTTATCCATGAAGAGTTGATTTTTGTGAGAGGTGAGAGATATGGACCCTGTTTCAGTCTTCTACATGTGGCTGTCCAATTTTCCCAGCACCCTTTATTTAAAATTCTTCCATTTAAATGTGGGATTCCTGGCCAGCTGCTTAGCAGTCAAGTGGAAATTATTTATTGACCCCCTCCTTTACCAAATATACAGTCCCTTGGTACCATTGCTCCATGGATCAGAGTAGGGCAGAGGTGAAATAACAGGCACATGTAAGTGTTTCACTGACACCCAAATTCTGAAATCCAGACCACAACAGCACTTGGCCCTGCCTGTTCTAACTAGTCTGTCTTTGCCTTAGATTGGAGCCTATCGTTTTAGCCACATATTTCATATTTTTGAGATTCACCTATCCTTTTTCACCTACATTGCAAAAGACAAAATAGATTTCTGTGAGTTTAAAAATAAATCACATTCAAGAAAATAGATATTTTTAAAATTTCTTTGCTTTTATTATTCTTATTGTTTAATTACTTTGTACTAATACAAACAGCCAAACTGCTACCAGTTTCAAATTATACATTTACTTGATATCAAAATGGCAATTTAGTTATTTCTGCTAGTATAGTTTTTAAAAGACAATTTCCGTAGGTTTACTCAAGGTGGGTTTTTTTTGATAAAGTGAAAATTTAAAGTTTCTGTTCATTGAAAGACTGTATAAACAAAGGATAAAGACAAGCCACAGACTTTGAAAGTATATATGCAATGTATATAATTAACAAAAGATTAGCATCCAGAATATATAAAGAACTACTTTCAATAAGAAAAAAAAAAAATAGGAAAAGGACATGAACAAGTAATTCACAGAAGAAGAAGAAACAAAGGACAGTAAATGTACAAAAAACATTTTCAACTTACTAAAAATCAGGAAAATATTAATGAGATGAATAGTGCTAGAAGTCCTAGCCAGAGGAATCAGGCAAGAGAAGAAAATCAAAGGTATCCAAATACGGAAAGAAATCAAAGTATTGCTCTTTGCTGATGACATGATTTTATATCTAGAAAACCCCAAAGATTCTGCCAAGCAACTCCTGTAATTGATAAATAAATTCAGCAAAGTCTCAGTTTACAAAATCAATGTACACAAATCAATAGCATTCCTATACACCGAGAACAGTCAAGCTGAGAATCAAATCCAAGGCTCAATACCTTTCACAACAGCATCAAAGAAAATAAAATATTAGGAATATATTTAGCCAAGGAGGGGAAAACCTCTATGAGGTTTTTTTCTGAATCACTATGTACCATTTTTATTCTTTCACAAGTTGAAAAATTAAATATCTTAATATGTATTCCATGTCTCAAAAAGAAATATTCTGGAAAGCTTTTTACCCTCTAATACTCTTTTGTTTTCTTTAAGGATGGCTTTTATTAAAATAATCAAAGAGTCTATACACATTGTTAGACATTAAATTGTTAAATAAAATATATGAGTCTGTCCTTGTAATGCAGACTCCAAAACTAACCAGAGCTTGACAGGAACTGTGAAGAATGCAACAGTGACAAGTTGACGCCATGCGTGGGTTAAGGTTTCTGTGTATGAAGACTCTTATACAGCTATTGAAATTCTATTCTCACACTGTGTTTTGTTTTGTTTTAGGTTTTTATTGGAATATTTACAGCAGAAATGATTTTAAAAATAATCGCCATGCATCCATATGGGTATTTCCAAGTAGGCTGGAACATTTTTGATAGTATAATTGTGTTCCTTGGTTTAGCAGAACTTTATCTAGCAAATATTCATGGATTGAGTTCTTTTCGATCATTCGAGATAGTAAGTAGAATCCAAGACCTAATTTTTATTTTATCAAAGTTTATCTCAGTTTCATCAGACATAAAAAGGAATGATAGTAATACCTATCCCATGGGATTTTGGAAGTATTATATTAAATGAATTAATTCATATGAAAGAGCTTAGTGCCCCAACAAAGGTTAAGCAGTCTCCAGTGCTGTTATCTGACTAAAGAAAATAAGGAAATAAGTAAATTAATTAAAGGAAATAGGGCCATATACACAACAAATTTGAGATACAGTTCTAGGAAGCAGAGTCAGGGTAACTGGGCAAGTTTTGAAAAGCAAGATAATGAAAAGTCCCAAATGTGGAATGCCATTATGTGATCAAGTAACTGAAATCAGGTGAGAATTTCTAAATTAGGGTAGGAAGACCAGTCAGACCAGTAAAATGTTACTATAAAAATTATTAGGTCAGAATCAGAATATGTCTACAATGTAGGGTGGTAGTGAGACTCTGAAAATCAAAGAAATAATGTAATTAGAATGATATTTATGAAAACGTTAAGCATTTGATAAGTAATATATTGTCACATTCTGGCAACACATTGAAGGAATGTAGAAGCAATTAAGAACAATTAAGTAGATTTTGATTTATCCTAATGATTACTTTCTGGAGGGAAGCTTCTTCAGAACCTTGCCTTAAATCCTCATTGAAAAACTTTTCTAATAAATGAGATAAATATATATAGAATGTAGTCATCACATTTATGGATGAAACAAAACTGACAAAATGCAGAAAATGTGCCAAAAGATAACAAATATCTTAAAGGCTAATATTGGACTGAATTTAAGATGATCAAATTTTACATGGATAAATGTAAAATTTTACTCTTGAGTCCAGAAAGCCAACTATACACTAGAAAAAGGAAGGTATAGCACACATAAAAGTGATGTATGGATTTTAGACGACTATAAATTCACTGTGATATGGCGACAAAAATGTTAAGGTAATCTTATGTTGTATGAATAGAAATAAAAAATCTAGTGAAAGAAGGGGAATATTCAGACTAAACCTGGAATGTTGTGTTTGGTCTTTGGTATGTTCCTTTAGCAGGGAAATACACAAAAGGACCTTCAGTGGAATTCAATAGATCCTCACAGACTTTCAATATCATCTGTATGTCAAAATATGGAAAATATATCCAACATATTGTGAAAAGCAAAAAGAAAGAATGAGTACTTGCCTATGAGATATTACACACAAAACTAGAATAATTATAATAGTATAATATTGAATGAGAACTGACAAATACATTAATAGAAGAGGATATGTTATAGATATAGTGTACAAAATTATAGAATATGTAAGATGCATTGCATTATACATAAAATGAGTATTCAGGGATTAATATTAATAATGGTTAAAATTTTAAAGGCTGTATATATTTATGTACATAATGCTGTTAAAAAAATTTGAATTTACATTGTAATACATACTGACCAGATTTTTTGTTTTTTGTATTTTGTTCTTGTTTTTTACATTGTTCTATTAGTTGCGAATTTTCAAGTTGGGGAAATATTGGCCAACATTTGAGAATCTGATGCTGACTCTTAGTCATTCATGGGTGGCCTTGAAAGACTTGGTTCTGCTATTGTTCACATTCATCTTCTTTTCTGCTGTATTCGGCATGAAGCTGTTTGGTCGGAGTTACAAAGAATGTGTCTGTCACATAGACAAAGACTGTCAACTCCCACGCTGGCATATGTATGACTTCTTCCACTCATACCTGAATGTGTTCCGAATTCTCTGTGGAGAGTGGGTAGAAACCTTGTGGGACTGCATGGAGGTAGCAGGCCAATCCTGGTGTATTTCTTTTTACATGATGGTCATTTTAATTGGAAACTTATTGGTAAGTAGTCCATGTTTTTATGTTTTCTTTTAAAAACTGGTACAAGATATTCTGACGTTTTCATGATGTGGATTGATGGGATCCAGTGGTCTATAACGGTGTTATCCAATTTGGTGACTACTAGCATATGTGGCTATTAGTGGCTGAACTATGACTGGTCCAATTTGAAATGTGCTGTGAATGTAAAATATACACTGGATTTGAAGTCTTACCCCAAAAAGAATGTAAATTATTTCATTAATAATTTTTATATTGGATGCATTTGAAAATGGTAATACAGTAAGTAGTCCCCTCATCTGCAGTTTCATTTTCTGAGGTTTCAGTTAACCATGGTCAACCATGGTCCAAAAATATCCAAAGGAAAATCCCAGAAATAAGCAATTTGTGAGTTTTAAATTGCCTGCCATTCTGAGTAACATGATGAAATCTCCCACCATTCTACTCTGTCCTGCCCTGGACATGAATCATCTCTTTGTCCAGTATATCCACACTGTATATGCTACCTGGCTCTCCAGTCACTTGGTAGCCTCTTGGGCTATTGGATTGAAGAAACATAGTATACATAGCATTCAGTACTATCTGTGGTTTCAGGCATCCACTGCGAGTCTTGGAATATATCTTCTGAGGATAAGGTGGGCTTATGTATTTATATTTAACTAAATATATTTAGTTAAATTAAATGCATTAGTAAAATCGATCTCACCTGTTTTTGTTTATGATTTTTATGTGGCTACTGGAAATTTAAAATTGCATATGTGACTTGCATTATATATCTACTGAATAGTACTAGTTTATAACCTTCTACTCAAAGTATCATTTACATCATGTGGGAAATGGTTAGAAATGCAGACTCTCAGATCCCATCCCAGACCTATGGAAGCATAATCTACATTAGAACAATGTCCTCGGTGATTTGAGTGCACATTAAATTTTAAGAAGCACTTAAATCTAACACTGGCTGTCAAATTTGCCTGTGCATTGAAATTACCTGGAGAATTAATGAAAACATGCCGATGCCTTGGATCAGTTCCCAGAGATTCTGATTTTATTGATATGTGGACATGGTCTGATCATCAATACTTTTTTCAGTCCTCAGTTGATGAAATTATGCAGCAAAGATTGAAACTGGTCTGTAAAACTGTTATTCATTAACTAAGGGAGAAAGCTTTCACTTTTAAATTTCCTAATAATTGAAGTGGCATTACATGAATTGAATAAGTAGCTTTCACTACTTCTAAGAAAAAGCTATGGCTTATAAAAGAAAATGGTCCTTACAGGGGAAAAATAAAAGACTCAGTATTTGCATTTTACTCATATGTCATAAAGATCAAGTACATTCTCCAACAGACTAAAAAAAAAAAATCACAGATTAGACTCAATTTTATCTATGCCCTTTCTCATTGCTTCTATTTCACCTTGGAAATACCCTTGTCATACACTTATCACATTGGCATTGTGTTTAATTGTTAATGTACTTGTCTCCCTTCCTTACTAAACTGTAAGCTCCATGAAGGAAGGAACCATAACTCTTCTCTATATCATAAAGCCTAGAATAATGTCCAATATGTAAAAATACTTTAACACCCTCTGTTCTTTGTAGCTATTACTAGTACTCTTTAAATTCCTGGTGATAGAAAACACTATTCTAACTGACTGAAAAAATGATCATATAAATCAGCATACATAATGCAAAATATCAGAGAAAGAGAGAGAGGGAGATCTCGCTTCAGTTGTAGTATGGCACATATGTTCAAATGGGATCATTAAAGTCAGGTCTTTGTAGATCTCAGTTCTGTCTTTCTCCTATGCTCTTTGCTGGCTGGTATCCCCTGTTTTGTCAAGATGTCTTTTTTGGTCTAAAGCTTCACATCTTCATATCATATCAAGTCTAATAGAAGAAAGAATTTCTTTCCTAGAGGCCACAGTAAACTTTTCCTATTATCTCATTAGCTCTGAGTCACATGGCCATTTTTGAACTAATTTCTATTGCCTAGGGTATGGAATACATTTATTATGTTAAGCCACTTAGAACTCTCCCTTAGAGCTAGAGATGACATCAGTCCAAACCCAAATCACATGACTGATAACGGGATAAGGGCAATTTGCCCAAATTAAATGTTTGTTTCTATTTCCAAAAGGAAGGGCCATGGCTGTTGAGAAAAGCAATGACACCACACACAGAGTTCAGAAGCAAGGAAACAGAAATGCTGAGGCAAATATA